AAAAAAATAGGGTGTAGGTGCACTTTAAGTAGTTAGGCCCAATGGTAGGTGAGACAGGATAAGATCTTATAGAATTTAATCATAATTACTGTAAATATTGTTATTAATGCCAACATTTATAGCTGGTATGATTTGATTTTTTAAATAAAAAAAAAATAATGTATTTCCGGAAATTTTGTTGTTATTTCTCAACATTTCGTTGTCCTAAAAATTAACCTAGAAGTATCAGGAAAGAGATGGATTCTTACAGAGTGCTAAATTGAGCCTACTCAAACCAGGGCCACCTAACAAATTATCCAGTCACATTCAAGTAACTCAACAGCAGAATTACAGGAAATTCAAGGTTCAATAAATTTCATGGTCAAAATATAACGTAAAAGTCAAAATTCTATTGTTGAGATACTAGAAGATGATTGGATAATTTGTGCCAATTTCGTTTAGGTTGCCTTGGTTCAAGTAGTCGCAATGTAATATTAGAAGTAGCTATTTGGAGTTTTGTTTGGGCTATATGCTATTTGGAGTTTGGTTTGGGCTTTGCCCATGTAAGAATAGTCTACATATACTATTAAATACACAGTAGTAGACACAGTAATAGATACAAATTCCCTTGTTTTTCTTTTGGTTTAATTTTACTGTTAGTCACTAATTATAAACAATTTCATTTCATGAGCCAAATAGAGTACAAACCATATACATCTATTTCAAAAAAGGTTGAATACTGAATACTGCATACTGAATAGTGCATTCCAAGACCAAAGGGCATTGTGGGTCTCATTAATTTGAAATAAAAAGTAAATATACAGCAATAGACCTATCCCAAATTYGCTTGACTGACAACGAAACAATGGTTTGAAGTCGAGATTGAACTTGATTCTTTTATTCATCAAGTTCAACCTCGACTTGAAACCATGGTTTCGTGACCACTCAAGCGAATTCAGGATAGGTCTATCAATTCTCTACCTGTAGTTATTATTAATCCTATTTTAGACAATGTCACTATGACCCACCCACAATGCCGTTCGCCCGGGGGGGTACTGCCATATATGGACTATACGGGGATGATCCGCTGAACAGGGTATGGTTTTTCAAGCTTCTTGTCATAAACAGGGTATGCAATTTCACTCAAGTTCCAAGTTCTTCCTGCGCTTCCTGTCATACTCAGGGTTTCTCCTTTCGTATTGACCGATACTGGTTACTATGGTCTTCAAAAAGCTATACACGAGCTGGCATGTTAATTGAAACAGGAACTCAGTGCAATTAATTATATCTTTTGTCATAAACAGGGTCTACAAATTTGAGTTTTTTTGTCATAAACAGGGTACCCCTTTCAGAATCCCAGTGGAACACCCCTACCCAAATCCTGGCGGAGTACCCCCCTTGGGCCCTTCGGTCTTGGAATGCACTATTCAGTATGCAGTATTCAACCTTTTTTTGAAATAGCTGTATCCATAAAATAGCAAAAGAACTAAATAGCACTTAACACATCTGTTTCTTTGTTTTTAATAATTTTTTTAAATTGATGCTATTTTGTACTAATAAGTTAGTACTATTTCAAGGATGTACAGTATAGTTTGCACTCTAAAATCACTCGACAATCATTAAGTACAACATTATGACAAACTATTATTTAGTCTATGGTATTGAACTACCTTTACATGATAATCATTATACACTCTTATAAAGACTGGGTTGTTCATAGATAACTATGGAGATAAATCAATATTTCCAACGGAGAAATTTTGTAGCTTCTTGACGATATTACTAATTTTTACTGGTTAAGCCTCCTCTAACCATTTCCCAATGTTAACTATCTTGCAAAGCTGCAAAGCCTATAATTCAACTTGAATAAACTAAAACTACAGACACAGATGCAACATTGCACACGCTGTTGTAGGCAATCAATGTTGCAGCCATGTCACAGGACACAATTTGTTTGCATGCAATGACGCTGAAGTGGAAAACGATCTAACTTCAGTAACATTGCCTGCTATGTTGCATTCAATGTTGCACTGTGTGTCTTGCCTTAATGAGGCTAAAGTTAACTTCTGACATGTAAAAAATTAGGTTGAATAGGCATTGCAGTTTATTGTGGGACTGTTTTAGGGGACGGGATAGATGCCATCTTGAATAGAATGTCCACTAAAGCAGTCACACAAATTGTGAGTTATGCAGTGCCAGTTTTTTACTCCACCTTGGAATGGCTTTTATCACTCTTGAGTAGCTGATCACCATAATTGAGACAATTTATTGTAGACTGAAAATATCTAAATTATATACATCTTGGCAATTAAATTTTTGCATTCAAAAAGTTTTGATTTTTCTTTGTACAACTTTAACTAAATATTGAGCAAACTAGAAAGAGGGCAAACGAATATGGGCCAAATTTTTCACTAACCAAGAAAGTTAGATCTTTATACAAAAATCTACAAAATAATTAGTATAAATATTACCACTTTTCTGGGGTTTTTTTTACAGACTAAAATTCAAAATGAATTGATTTATCAAGATTTTACATCTTCAGAAAAATGAAGTAATATAAATATTAGTCAACACAGACATTCTTTGAAGATCTTTCAGCTTGTGATCTTAACATTATTACAAAATTATACCCAAAAGCGATTTTAATAAAATGATAATAATTAATTAATATTTAATTAAATTACTCATTTGTATTTTTCTACCTAAATTACTATGAGAATCGATTCATTATGGCAATCAATTATTAAGGTCTCAAATGTGCAGAGCGTTTCTAGTTATTAGAGAGTTTTAGATTTACGTTCATGGCAAACGTGAAACGTCAGTTGACCAGTAAGAAAATCTTTTCAATCACTGAAAAAGAATCACAAAAAAGTCCAAGTAGTAGAAAAAGAAAAGAGTATTTGTGCTTGGTGAGAAGGATTGTAAAAGGTAAAGTAAAATAAAGGACAACTATGAAAACATGGTCATGTTTGCCGCTTGCGGGGAGAAAAAAAAGTCAATCTAAGACTCTCTATTTAGAGACCTTTAGCATGTTTACTGCTAATCGCTAACTGCTAGAAATTAGACCCTGAAAAATGCCCACAAACACTGAGAAACACTGGGCATCAATGAAATTCAATATGGCAGCTCTTCCAGCAACAACTTTATAACATCTTAATTAATGTTGAAAGTTTGATGGAAAACGAATGACGGAAAACACCTGACATTGAAGTGCAGTTTGAGGTTTCAAGAACGTTGTGGTCTCTATTTTGGTTGTTTTACCCTTGGTACTTTCAAGCTCCAGTTCAATCATGGAACAAAGACTGCAGTCTTGTTAGCAACAGTAAGGTAAAGTGTGGGGAACGCAAAACTAGGAAGATTGGTGGGAGAGACTGCCCAACTGAAAATAGCTGTTTCAATAACCTTAATAGAAGTAGAAGTCTTCAAAGGCAAGACCAAACTCATCTGGTTAGCACTAAACACGTAATTTATACACGCATTTATATGCATGTGTATTAGGTTTGTATGAGATTCTATGTCAGCGAAGTTCATACTCACCTTATTATTAATCTTAATGACAATAAGTTGCTCTAGAAATAAGTTATTAATAAAAACTTTTATAAATGAATTCAAAAATAATATATATATATGAAATATAAATATTTTTATATGTTCTATAATAATAGTTGACTTTACTAATGAATCTGTGGTATTTTCCCATTAACGAGCACATTTCTCTCTGGTTTAGTTGAGCGATCTGGCCTATGTATGTATACTATTCTCCCACCACTTGATCCAGTGCTATGATGATCATCATCATTATCATTAGACATATCTTTATCACTATCTCTGTCCATTAATGGAATACTTGTATCTGGGTATTTTCTAGTTTCTTCTATTGTTGGTGACTTTATGCACTTAATATTTTGAATTTCCTTGTCTTCGTGTATTGAGGAGTCCTGCCGAGAGCCACATGAATGGGTTCCTCGACGATGAAACTTAATTCCCATGAGAAAACCAACTAGAATACTGAGTACTATAGCTACTAGGATTGCAACTGCAAACACTCCTCGGTCTATTCCTTCACCTGAGATAAAAAGAAGAAATAAGAATATTAAGAAAAAGTAATAAATGGGTGGGCAGTTGGGATAATGAGATGGGCAGATTGGTGAAAGAGATGGATGGATAGATGAACAATAAGCCTTTTCATAGTTTAAGAATCGATTCCACTGCTCATGCGATTTATCCCGAATTTCTCACCTTTTGTTTAATTAAGAACAAAAGAAGGTTTAGACAAAAGAAGGTAAGAAATTCGGGATAAAATCACATGCGCAGTGGAATCGATTATTAAACTATGAAAAGGCTTATTAGATGGATGGCTAATTTATAGATGAATGGGATGGACATATGGATGAATGAATGGGTAGATTGGTGGATGGATGAATAAATGGATAGAAAAATAGTCAAGAAAGGATGGATGTATAAATAGAACTGAATGAATAAATGGATGAATAAATAAACAAACAAATAAAGGAAAGAATGAACTACTGACAATGATATTTTTACCTGTACTTCGATATCCCTGTGTTGGTCCTGCAAACATTAACAATACATTATACATTACCTATTAATTATCATTACTTATCAACACACATTTAAAAATCTAAATTTATCAAGCTTTTGGATGTTGTATCACAGTGTGGGACAATCATAACAGAGCTAGGCTCCAAACTAGGAGAAAGCCCAGACATTGAATAGGAATTTAGCTAGGAGTTGATTATTGAGGAGGGAAGGAAATTAAAGTGGAGAACCCAAAGAAAAACCCTCAACAGCCATGGAGAAAATGCACCGCCTCTCACCAATGCAAACCGGGCTCGAGTTCTGCTAGGCTTGGAGTAGTATTTTGTTTGTTGATATTCTCCTGTCTTCACAAATATCAACTTCTAAATTCTAATTCAATCTATTGACTTCCTTATCAATTGGGTTGCAAAACCTGTTAGGCATTACACCGTCCACCCAGGAGTGGTAAATGCATTAGAAAAATATTATAAACTCTTCACAGTCTCCTACCTTTATTGTATTTGCTCATAACATTTGTCTTCTGTACTTTTAATGAACCAATTTTTCCAGACTCTATTGCTGCTTGTAAATCAACTAGTAGGTCTGTGTCTTTATCTGATGGACTGGCACCAAATCTCATGCTTATCTCAGCATTTACACTTCCTTTGCTGGAACAAATTAATTTAAAAAAATTCAAGAGAACAACCACGACAACAATGACCTGACATGCATAAGACTTGAGCCATTCTGAGTTTGAATAAGACTGGGTTGAGTTGAATTTGTTGTGCATTGTTAGGAAGTTGTAAGGGACAAAATTATAGATGTCATGTAGGAAATATTTCCCACAATGCACTGCAATGCCAACTCAAAACCCAGTCTTTTCCACAATCTCTGAATATCTAATGATATTATTAAAACTTATTCAGCCCAATACTTTGTGTATTTAATTCCATATCAAACTAAGGCCCATTCCTGTATCTGCTCATTTATTAATGTGTGTTATAATTTACCTGTATGATATATTGGTGATGTCCAAGAAAGCAGTGTCATGTGAATATACACTTTGAATCTAAAAACCAAAAGTGCAATAGAATGATTAGCATGTATCACTAAAATGTATTCAGTCTAACGCCAGGTATTTAGTATCAGAACGTTTTCATCAGACTTTGAACGGCATATTATTTTACGTTTTTCCAGGGGTTATTCTTAGGGGTGCATAGTCACCATGTTGGTTGACAATAGCAAAGCATTCCTCATTAGCTTCTTTTGTTAGACCAACCAACATTGGCTGTTTTCATAGATATTTACATCCCAGGGGATTTTGAATCATGTGACTGCACCCAAAGAAAGGTCGCAAAAAAATAAGATCAAGCATATATATTATAAATTAAATGGTTGATATATGATTGTGATGCAATCATTACTGTGGTTTTCAATATTCTGCTATACTCTGTAGTTTAAGAAGCTGCACGCTGAAATTTGATTTTTCGCTGCTGGCAATCTTAACTGGTGGCAGTGAAAAACTAATTTCACAACTAGCCGTTGGAATTTCTGAGCTCGCCGAATATGGAAAACCATGTGCACAGTCATTTTAAAAGTAATATATACAGTATGAGTGGCCTTGTTGTATCAGATATACAACCACGAGGCGTAGCCGAGTGATTGTATATCTGATATGACACAGACACGAATACTGTATATGACTTATCAAACGTCTAGGTTAGTTCCTTTGTGTTTCAATAAAATTTTCAACATTAAAGTGAATTTGGCCAAGAAAATCCAACTTAAAGTTTATTCAAATGAACACAGTTTTGTATCAGATTTACAACACTCTTCATGGTCGTGATTTCTATTGTGTTTTCCTCATGAATTATTAATGAGTTTGATAAGATATACTTACAGCTTTTTTAAGTCTTTTTGACATATCTATATACTGAGGTGACTTGGGATCCTTTAATGAATCAGTCCAATTTTCCTCTTTTATTTTTATTTCCACACTGATAACTCTCTCTGGAATTGAATATAGAAATTATGCTTTAGTTACACAGGTGTCTGTTGATAATATCCATTCTCTTGATCATCTATTTAGTGGGCTACCTGTGGTAGACTATTCTACTTGGCACAAAGGGTATCTACAGAAGCCTGAGTGGACAAGGGGTATGACCTGATTAAACATTCACCAAGGAAGGAAACGTAATCTCCCATGACACTCTTTGCTATATATAAATCCTTCAAGTCCTACCACAGGGATCCCAACCAAAAAGAAATGAAAAGAGAAAAATTGTTTGAAGGAGGTTGTACCTTTTTGCATGAACGTACAAAAACATATTTATATATTGAGTAATGTATTATTGAATCTGCAGATCTTAGGGAGAAATGTATGACAACTATAAACATTTTTTACTGATACAGCCAACATTTTGAGTTAGGAGATGTCAGGGAAGCAAAGGTAGAAAATTTATAAGGCATAGATTGGCGTAGTCTCCCTCGCATCCGTTTTTAGTGTCGGTCGTCACGCAACGCTCCCTCTGCACAAACGGCTGCTTGCATTCGAACTACATTCCTTTCTCATTGTTTGGCCAATCACAAGACGGGTTACATATTTAGAGAACCGTTTGCGGACTTTTGATCTGACCAATCACAGTGCATCTTTTATTTCGCATTCTCAACTCGTTCGTTCATAGAAGAAGTGTACATGTTTGGCCTTGTGTCTTCAAAGTTCTGTATTCCTGATCTAAATGCGCATCAGAAGTCAGCTATCAAAACTTTAGTCGAAGAGAAAAAAGATATTTTTGACAATCTTCCAACAGGGTTTGGCAAATCTCTAATTTATCAAGCTCTGCCTCTCGTATTTGACTACAAATATACACTAGAGTCTGGTCACATCGTGGTTGTTGTGTCTCCTTTAATTGAGAACTTTAGATCCGACGACGAGTACGAGAACGAGTCCGAGTTAAAACTTTTAAAGATTGGCACTATCTCTTTGTAGTCTTGATCGTATATGAAATAGATATGATTGAAACTTTAGATTGTAAAAAATCGGAAATCGACTACGATTTAGCGTCACTCGTACTCTACTCGTCGTCGTATCTAAAGGTCGCTAATAATACGTCTAATGGATGACCAAGTCTCAAATTTACGTAGTTTAGGATTTAGTGCTGTGAAGATAAGCTCACTAGAAGAGAAAGAACGGTGTGAAGTCGAAAACGGCGAATATTCCGCACCGATTTCTTTCAAGGATGTTCTTTGGCAGCTCGATTGAAACTCAGCATGTTTATAYTTTCGGACACTGTGATTGGCTCAATGGGAAACAATACGCTCAACCTCATTGGTACAATCCAAACAATGAGAAAGGAATGTAGTCCGAATGCAAGCAGCCGTTTGTGCGGAGGGAGCGTTGCATGACGACCGACACTAAGAACGGATGCGAGGGAGACTAAGATTGGCGGGTTTACATTTTCAAATAACTCGAAGTCTTGGTGTTTCACATATTTTGCAACTAACAGCAAATTTATTTGCTTTTAGATGTGCTTCTAATTTAAAAGCATATTAAGTTTATTTAAAATGACACCCCGACAGCTGTGCAGTCTATACATTTTCCAGTTGTTTACCCTTTAATCACATACTTACCATTGATAGTATAGTTTCTGCTCTTTGATGAACCAAACGTGTTCTGTGCTATACAGTAATACATTCTGTTCCCATAATCCTGGTTTACAGATACAGTATCTGAATCTATTAACCTATAGCTTCCACTAATAACTTTGACCAAAGAGACTGTGGGTTTTGGGATTCCTGTAGCTTTGCACCAGAAGTATGTCTTGTCTTGACTCTTGGAGAATCCCGAGAAAATGACTGGCAGCGCACCTGGAAAATAACATCAATAAAACAAACCTATTAGTAAACTTCTAATCTTTAACAGTCTCAATGATCCATAAAGATTACTAAAGCCTGGTTCACACTAGTGTAGGAATCAGAATCGGAAGCAACATTATAGCAAACTTAGCATCGCAGTAATCACCTAGGTGTGGAAAAAAAGACAAGCACTGTTAATGTGCAGTAAGCTTAAGAGTCTACAAACATGAACCAGGGTTAAAAGTCTAAGAATTTGGAGAATAAGTTTCTTGTCTAAGGTAGTAAATCCATAATCTCCCATATAATGCATTATCCAAATGAACCAACTGAAGTGAGCAGTAGGCCTCTCCTCCCTATATAACAGCAGTAGGCCTCTAGGCCTCTCCTCCCTATATAACACACAACCGTCTGGTACAATACATAATTAATAGGTACTCCTAATGTTTTGAAAGTTCTTAAATTGCACTCGTCCAATAAGCCTTGTGAAATTACAAGAACTTTCAAAAGATCAAGCATACCTATTGATAATGAATAATTATTGTACTCAAGGTGGTGCAATTTCCTTTACTTATTTGACTGCAATCTATATAATACAAGACATAGGTACCTTTGATTGGAAGGTTACATGTGTACTGGGATCCTTTATTGTTTTGTACAGTACATTGGTATTCACCAACATGTTCCAGACCAAACTTAGATATAACAAGTATCTGTGAGTGTTGAGAGTTTGAAGTCTTGATTTTGTAACCATTTTTTTCAGTTATTTTTTGGGAATCTTTCTGCCATTCTGTAACCAAGGGGATGGGTATACCAGTACCAGAACACTCTAATGACACATCACCACCAGAACTGTTGGACAAGGCTTTGATGGTGCATAATGGAGGCTCTAGAAAAGAATAACATTTCGAAAGAAAGAAGATAGATTTATTTTACAATTCATTGTAAGTTGCAGAAAAATATGTAGCTTGCATGGCGACACTTTGAAGAGGGGAGAGAAGGGAGGACCCTTCCCCCTCCCTAGGCCCCCTCCTCTCCCCCCTTCAAAGTGCCGCTACTCAGGCTAAAGAATATGCTAAATGGTGCTAGTATTTGATTAGAGGAAAAAAACATTTAGTACTTTCATTATTAATTAACCTTATTCATTGTGAGAATATTAATATTGCACTTTTGTTATCAATGAAATCCTTAGGGGTGAAAGTAGGTGTGGTCTGAACCCTGTGAACCAAATCCCTACCAACATTACCATTATATTACATGCTGTTTTTTCTTTAATAAACTACATGGACTAGACTTAACATAAGATCTTTCACAAACCCATATATTCTAATAATCTATGAATTGCCAGTCTTTAATTTAAGTGAATCAATGCAAACATGAAAAGATGGGAATGCAAAAAATGTACCACATGTGGGAAATTATATTTGTACTCAATGAAATGCACATTTAAAAAGCAAAATGACATTCTATTCATATAACCTTACATACCTTGAGGACATACAGAAACATATTCTCCATTAACAAGATCCTGAACCCAGGGACTAAAGCAAGTACAGAATGAAATCTACGTATTAGAAGTGGTTTCATATCTGGGCTTAAAATAACGGCTCGATCAGGAACACCACCTTATTGTGGTGGGGTGGTTTGCATGTCCCAATGACCCCTAGAGCTATGCCAACGGGAGTCATGTACCCCTAGTAGGGCCACCCATGCCAGACAGGTTGAAGTGTAGAGACCAAGACAAAGAGTGATCCCATTAGTAAACCAGGTTGGGGTTTGGGCTTGAGGCCTGATAACCCGCTCCCGTTTGAAAAAGGTTATCATAGAAACAAAAGGCCCTGTGCCACGAGTCGCAAAGATGACACATAACAGGTAATCAGAAAATAATGTACAGCTAGTAAAATCTTTGCCTTGCCTGTCATTTTTGACTGGCTGTAATGCCATCAGTATATGATCAAGATCAAAAACAACTTAGTTAAATTTTAAACAAGTGAGATTTGAAAGCTTAACTCACCTTTGTCCAGCTTCATCTTTTGTTGTGCATCTTTTGTTGCTCCATCCACAATAAGGATCTTTTTGCTCAATACAAGACCTGAAAATAAAATAATGTTATGACACATAACTACAAAATGAAAAAGTTTGCAAAACTTTTGACAGGTCCAGCCAAGGGGTGAATTTTGTTTTAGCCAATCACAGCTTATTTAGCTGTTTTTGCCTCTCGCCTTCATTCCCAGGCAACTGTAGTCCAACTTTTGCTTCGTTCTGTCAAGCTCCAAAAATGCTAAGGGCGGGTTATTTTGTCCATCCATGTTTTGAGCTGGACATTCTGGGTATTCAATCAAGCCTGGGGATACCAACAATGTCTAGAATATGTACTAAATATTCAGATAAACTTAGCTTGTAGTGACCATGTCAAAATAATGGTCTGCGACATTTCTGAAACGTCATGGAATCTCACCTGCATGTCTTGAAGTCTGAACATCTGTTGGTTAGAACCTTAGTGACCCCTGAACTACTACCAATATACAGTGATTCCTAAGAATAAAGTAAAATGCATAGAACATTATATTAAACATGTACACCTATCACACACATCCATAAAATATTCAGCAACACCATCAAATCAATTTATTTGTATATTACATTTGAGTAGAAACTAAGGCATTACTCCATGATAACCCAACCCCCTCCATGGTAGAGGTAACAATAATTGTATAATGCCCCTTTTATCATCCTGCAATAGTTCTCAACAGCCCTCAATATATGATAACCCCCCTAACCACTTTCTCAAAATAACATAACCCCCTACAAATTTGCCAACTTCCCCATGTGCTAATAAGTGAAACCCCCCTTACTATGCCAACCAAAGATAAATACGCTGATGAAAAAGCAACTTGGTAAAAACTATTGTGATAATGGTTGGCAAATTAACAACACAATGCTAATGGTTGTCAACAACAACGTCAAGCAATAATTGCTTGCCGTGCTGTGTGGAGTTAAAAAGTACTTGGGGAATGGTAGAACACTCAAGAGTGTCTGCACACAGTAGTCTAGTGTTGCACGCTTTCAAAAAAATTATAAAAATTATTTTTATATTTCATTTATAAAATACAAATTACAATAACCATTATTTTTGATAAGAATGATGCAACTGAAAGTTTGCAGGCGTGCTGTGTGCTCTCATAAAGCACACACTCCAAACCAATCAGAATGCGAGAATTATGACAGTTATCTTATTATACCTTGTAAAGCTTCATGCTTAAAATTGGTTGAGAAGTCTGAAAAGATAATATATCAAATATTGGTTTCAAATTATGCCATTGGTTTACTGTGCGGATACTCCAACAAGGACTACTATGATAAATTAATATCATTAACCAATCATATTGCGACATTTAGTTCAATATTTTGAACCGGCCAATCAAATAGCTCATTGATATAATTAGAGCATGAGAAGGTGATAATCTGATTGGCTAAGACATCTGTTATCAGTTCAATTTCTCTCTAGTTTACCATTATCTGATTGGCCAGTTTTATTCAAGAGGTCCCGGTATGTGTGTATGCACAGTAATAATATGAAAATGTGAAAAAGGTTAGTGGAAAGAAAGCTGCAATTAATTATAAAATTAAATGTAAAAGTGCACCTTAAAAACATCAATCTGTCCCACTACTTTGGCATTTTTTCCTCCTGAGAGATCTTGAGCCAGTTTGTAAACTGTGCCATTATCTATTAGAGAAACAATAATTTATTAATATTAATTAAACTATCTGTTTATGAATTTTATGTATTTGAGTGAAATAATATTCTGATCTCGACAAGTTATTTTACTGTGCCATACTACAGCTGATAAGGATATGTAATAGGACTCCAGACGAGGAAAATTCCGAGGACTGACAAAATTGGATGAGGAATTTTTTGAGTCTAATTATTTCTTGATTGGGGAGCATGAAATCCCATTACCTATTAATCATATAGCTGCCAAATTAATCCCATATCGACAGACCTGTCCAATTAAGAAAATAATTGGAAAGTTACCTATTATGGGATTAATGAGAAACTGTATGTTGAGTTACTTATTAGTTATACCTGTAGCAAGGAATACCACTTGGATGGACTGATTCTTTGATCCAGTATTTACATTATCAACTGCTATCTGAGTGAACCTGAAGGTATAAAAAATATGTCATTTTTCTACTAGTAAAGTATTTCGCTACTGGTTTGGTTATGAATCAAAATACATTTTGATTTTGGGTACCAAGGTGTCTTCAAATTAAAGTTGATCATAAAAACTTTCATCACCACCCAGGGGGGGGGGGGGGGTACTCCGCCAGAATTTGGGTAGGGGTGTTCCGCTGGGATTCTGAAAGGGGAACCCTGTTTATGACAAAAAAACTCAAATTTG